TAAAAAGTAAAAAAAGTGTTTTAAATTAAATAATGGGTAGAGCTAATAAATTGACATAAAAAAAACATGAAAATGTATTTTATGACACCTTTCTCAGAACTTCTAAAAGTATTCAACATTTTCTCAGATCCTGTCTCAAAACAAAAGTTGTTGTAAGCGTTTATCTGGGATAACTTTTGCCTTTTTATGGAGTCACTTATGTCAATGACTTTAAAACATAAAATGCTACAATGAAACAACTGAAATATGATAATCACACCTTCATTCTATTTTCTTATGCAGATTTTTTCTTAATATTTTTTTTAAAAATTTGCTAAAAATGTTGATGTTAAAACGCCTGAAAACATCTTTAAGAAAATATTTTCATATTATACGATTTTTTATTCACCACGTGAAGGGATGCTGAAGAAGTTAAATGAATACTAAACTTTTTTAATAATACTACAAGTCAGAAAAACAAAAACAAAAAAATCAGCCTGAGTAACTTTTATTCTAACGATCGTATTTTCCTGTACTAAGTGCCAATCTTCAAATGATTGGGTTTAATCAATGAATGAATCAAGGTCACCAGCCTTCACTTCCATAATTGACAATGAAGGGGATGATGGATATACGACCACGGAGCAGATATACTACCGCAAAAGGGTTCTGTGAAGACGATGTCTTTCGATGATCAGGTGACGAAAACCCGCCGCTGATTTGGAATACCCGTCCTGTATCGTTTGCCACAAAATCGATCTTTTACCTCTTACCTCTTACAATTCGTAAATTATTAGTACCAAAACAATTGACTTCATGGTATTATCTAATGGTGACCACTATCTAAAGCTAATGCCTCTAATTTGATTTTACATAAAACATTTTCATAAATTAGAAATACTATTCTAGAATCTTCAGGGCCTATTTTAGTTATTTTGTCTATCGTACTTTTTCACATGATTCGTTTATTTTTTCTTTCTTTTCTTTTAAGCAAGAACGTCTCTATAATAAGAAGAGCTAATTTTCTTTTGCAACATTTTATCTAATCACCGTGAAATGGAATAATTTTGTACTGATCTAAAGTGTCATAAGGTATTGAAATGCTTACTTTCCCTCCACCTAAGAGATCGGTATGTACGATTTTAAATAAACTGATGGTATGTTTAAAAATGGATAACATCTAAATAACTGAATAAATACTTTGCTTTGATGAATACTAATATCTTAAGTAGATAAGTAATGATTATTGTAACTTAGTATAAAAGAATATCAGCTTTTGGATTAAAATAGTAGATCATTTCTTAAAAATAGAGATTATTTGGGAGAAAAACACACTGCTTCTTACATAAAGCTTACTTCACTTACTGCTTATCTATTTTTCTTAAATTCATTCAAATGGAAAAAACAGTTTCAATACAGTGTTATTTAAGTGAGACATTTATATTAATTTAGACAAAAACACTTTATGACGAGTTTTGTTCAACGAGGAAAATCGGATCCATCATAAAATCAAGCGCTTGAATGTAGAGAAAATTAGGAAATTTTGTTACAGGCCAGTTGTAGTATTTTTTATGATGGCCACTTTTCAAAAACGATTATATTTCATCCATATTATTAATATAAATAATGTAAGGCATTTTAATTGATAAACATTTTATGGGTAATAGGATAAATATTTTAAGGTGTTCAAGAAGGTCTTCATTTTAGAAAAATGTTAAGAAATAGAGAGAAATGAAATAATTTTCTGAATATTATAAAATATTTATAATAATTCTATATTATGAAGAAAAATTATTAAAATGCACAAACTGCGCATTTTTGATGGAAAAGACTAGCATCACAATTTCTTCACTAGTGTTTACTAATTCTTACTTGTAATTCTTAATTGGAACTTGCGTGTAAAGTTCCAATTAAGAATTGTGCGTACTTTAGCTTCAACATACGATTTTCGGCACTCGCAATTAAACTATCGAGAGAAAAAAATGCAGTATTTTTTTTTCCTGCTGCAACTCTATATTAACTATTCTTTTATAAAGCTTTGGATGAAGAAGAATAACTCTTTTTAACGATCCATTCTAATAAATATTCTTCATTGTGGCCGAGATCGTGACCATAGTTATCAATCAACAATCAAATTAAACATGGATCGATGTTCATAATGTTCGACAATGTCCCATCGCCGTAAGTCCGAAAAACGTCCAGTTTGGAGGACGGTTACCATTTACCACGCTTCGCTCGCCCTGAAATCAATCTTGGTAATTGGTTTTTCTTTTACCTTCTAACACATCACGTGAGCGTGACCAAACTGTCTGACACGCAGAATGTAAATGAAGGTAGCGGCTTCTATGCAAACCTTTATTTATTTATCAGATGGGTTACTTAACAATTCCAGATTACTGGACGACGATGCATAACGAGCACGTAATGTCTCTTTTAATTTTGAATTGAAGTGTTTAATTTGCGAAATAATCTCTTGATTGAGATTCCATTGTCTGCATTTGGCAGAGTGTTTATATTAAATATACTGACGCTTATGTACATGTTACGGTGAAACACCGAAATCTGGAGAATGTCTACATTCACCTGTGAATGTCAACATTCACGTAGTCGCTTGGTGTATGTCCGAAATATTTGCTCAATACCCTTATTTCTGATTCTCACCGGTGAATGTCAACAATCACATAGTCGCTTTGGTGAATGTCCGAAATATTTGTTATATCCAATTTTATATTAATTTATTCGTTAATATTATTATATTTACTTGATATATTTATATCTATTCTATATTTTAATTCTTACTGACGATAGTATAGAAGAAACATCAGTGTTTGGAGTATCGGGCAAATGTATACCGGGCAGTCGCACTTAACCTTAAAAAAACATCAGTGTAGGGTTAAAATATCGAATAAATGTAATTATATCCACGAATAAATTCATATCAAATCGAATGTAATAAATATTTCGGACATTCACCAAAGCATATCTGTGATTGTCGACATACAACGGTGAGGGTCCGAATGTACAAGAATGTAATGAAATATTCGATCTTTCACCGAAGTATTTGGTGTTTGTCGACATTCACCGGTGAAAGTCAACAACCACCGATTTCGGTCTTTCGCCATTACATATATATTTTTAAGAGAACCGCCCGTTGGCAGCAAAAACGGAAATATCAAGTGAATAAGCAGTCATAAGCATGAGAAGCAAAGTAATACCTATAAGTGACATACCTAAACAGGCTAATGTGCATCGTCAGTGGAGTCATCCAGTAAAACAACTTTTTTAAAACTAAGTTGCTTACACCTGAATGGCAAAGAATTAGCTGTACTTACATTTTATTTCGTTTTTAAAATACTCCATTTTTATTGATTTCGATCTAAAATTCATAAAGAAGCCTTTTGCACTAATAATTTCTTTTAAAGCAGTCATTTCGTGTTTCTAAATTTTTCAGAATAGTCTACTCTTTTGAGACTTATGTTGAATAGTGTAGCTTAATTATTAAATCAAAATTTTCATTTTACCACTTTGTGAAGTCATTTTAGTCCCCCTTTGTCAATAATTAGCTTTAAAAAAATGAACGGTGATGGCTAACTAATATTCAGCAAAATTTTCCTTATTTCCCAACCATTATATATCATACGCATTTTAAGAGAAATTATTGCGTTTCTTAAAAAAAATATCAGCACACTATTACTGACAACGGAGATGCATAATTAATTGTGGTAATTAGGTACCTAACCATAAGTGGGATGATTATAGGAACGGAATAGAATCGAACTGTACATATGTTACCATGAATGACCGAAATCAGGAAAATGTCGACTTTCACTGGTGAAAGTCAACAAAGTCGCTTTGCTGAATGTCCGAAATATTTGTTATATCCGACTGGATATTAATTTAATCGCTGATATTATATTCGATATTTTAATATCTGCTGAGGACAGATTAGGAGAAACATCAGTTTTCGGAGTACCGGGCAAATGTATATCGAGCACTTCACTAGATCTAGTATAAATTTCGAACATTTACCAAACGTCACCATGTGATTGTCAAATGTCACCCATTTCAGTCATTCACAGTAACAAGGTTTCACCGGATGCTGCATAAAGTTTTATGTTTTAAAAACTTTATTTCACAAAGAGTATACCACCGTTTTTGTAAACAAAATACGTAAGTAACCAGTGTTGAGAAAAGCGAATTGCGTAAGAGAGATCAGAAAACAAGTTTGAGGGCTGGTGATCATGTCCGAGCACGCTCAAAGGACATTTTAAAATGGGGTCTGAGAATGAGACAATAATGACGGATGAAATAATTTCAGGTCATATACAATCATGACAGGTAAATAGAAAATATGGAAGAAATGGGTAAACATTTAGGAATTCTAAAAATGGTGTGTATTTATGCCTGATTTCAAAGCGTTGATGAAACAAATATTAAACCTATAGGAAATCTTGCAGCTGGCCTCTTTTTTTAAAGGATTAAAAAAAAAAAAAAAACTGTTAGTATTAATAAAATGATGGCATTTCATTTGAAACATTTCTCGAAATAGGATGAACATTTCTAAATGGAAAAAACTTTAAGAAAACAAGTTAGAAACAAAGTAATTATCAGAATATTATAAAATATTCAGAATAATTGATAATTTTATTTTTATTATTGATAATAATAAGTCCTGCGCAACACCTCCTGGAAAAGAGAAGGCCTTTGCACGAACCTTTTCAGTAGTCCGAAGGAACGTACATAACTGCGCACAGTGGGGAAAATTAAGAATGGAGTCGACTTTCGCACTACTAAACTGCACTTGGGGGGGGGTGATATGAAAGATGTTACAGCACTCCGTCTACTAAAGCAGCGGTTCCCAAAAAGTGTTCCGCGGAACTCTATGGTTCCGTGGGAGGGTCGCATGAATTCCGAGAGTTTGAAAAAAAATTTTTAAACCAATAATGAGTTTTGAAACTTATAATTATTCTCTTTTCTAGTAGGTGTTGCCCTCAAAACTTTTTTTATTCTAATCCTTTTAGACAAAAGAAGAAGACATTCAAAAAAATATGAATTAAAGGAATGCGTGGAAGTCTGTTGCTTCCCCTCTACTCGGCGACTGTTCTTCTACTTGTAACATCTCTCTATTACATGACTGGAGCTTGGAAGCGGATTTTTGACTCCAGAATCATCACGGGCACCAAGATCAGACAACTCAACTCTATCGCTAACAATCTCTCGCGTATCATTATGGCCACGGAGACTGAATCGGCCATGCTGAATAAAGACATTAATCGCTTCTTGAAAATTGTACAAAAACAAGTGGAACATTTAAAGACAAAAACTTAATGAAATAAATGACCACGACATGTGGACTGGCTGCCATTCATAAACATGAGAGTCATAGAATGAATCATTGTAAAGACTCAAGAAACAAACACGAACTCTTGTTTGTACAAAAACAAGAGTAAAATAATGTGACTAATAATCGAGTTGAATTGGTAATCATCTTCTTTCTAAAACACGAATTTCGTTCTTTTTGTTTAAACAGGTTGTATCGTTTCTTAAATCCCAAAAGAATTTTCATAGAATCTTTCCTATTCACTCTTTTTGAACTTATTTATTTAATATTTATCCTGCTTCTCATGGCTGAATATCGACGGAAAAATTCTTCTTCCTTTAAGAACTGAATAAAATAAAGTCCTTTCTTTTACCGATAATAGTAAGAGGAAGAGTTTTTCCGTGTGTGTCCCTCTTACATTTCTTGAACCGCCTGCGCTAGGGTCCCAAAAATAAAGGCAGCAGGCAATTTTAGTTGCCCTTCTTAAAATCGTTCAAACATTTCAATCAGCCCTTTTGGAAGAAATGTCTGAAAAATGCATTTTTCTCACTAGTTTAGCATTAGCCATTGTTATAATGTAGACGATTATGTTTTTCCCTTTTTCAAATATTTAAAATATAATGCTTGTTTTTGTACAGCTCTTTATAATTAAAAGAGGAGTTCATGGCACGTTCTTTATCGTTAATTCGTAATGTCAGGTACACGCGAGGACAACCATTTCTAAAGTTATCTGAACAACGAATTCCCTATGTAAAAGCTTCACTCTATGAAAAAAAAATAAAAACGCATTTATTTTGCTCATAGAGTGAAGCTTTTGAAGCACATTTCTTTAAAACTTAGTAATCTGAAACCAACAATAATTGAAATAAAATCTACAGTTATGAAGTGAAAGTCAATAAGAATGGAGAAAAGGAAAACCGTAAAAAATCTATTATTGTCACTAATGATGCTTCATAATAATTTTGGTAATAGATGCCATTGAAAATAAATACCAAATAAACTAAAATAGAAATAGGGTTTTTACAAAAACTTATTCGGATTGAAATTGCATCGATTATGGTAAATTTTAACAAACCGAGCAGCCAAATGATACTGAATCTAGTGGATGAGATAAACTTCAACAAAAAAAGATCCACTGTGAAAGGCAACAAATAATGATGAGTCAATTTCCTTGAGTCCTGCTCCAAGAATTTCTGACACTGCTATTCGAAAATAGCCAGTTTAATAAATGATAGAAGAAGAGTTGATAGCATATTTTTGTTATTAACATACGATTTCGCGTTGAATTAAAACAAACTTTTCATTTTTATACAAAATATTTTCCACTGAATTCATATATTGTAACATTTTCATCGAGAAATGAAAGTTTATATGAAATATACATTTTGGAAATTAAGAATCTAATAAAGTGGTGCACTTTAAGCAAACAACATTGAATGTTCCCTGTAAATAGAGAATTGTGAGAGTTTATTATTCTTTAAAATTGTAACTTTTTTATTGTTTTTCTTTTTTATGTTAGAATTATTTAAAGTATTGATAAAGAATTGTTATTAAATAAAGAATAATGACGCCACGTAATAACCATGAACTGCAAAAAGTTGATTGTTTACTTTTCAAAGAATGAAGGAATTTGGATCACCCAAAAAATAAAAATTTTGTTATTTATTTAGTTTCTATTAATTGAGCATGGAAATGTTTTGTGTCATTGCCGTGGTCGCAGATTATTTACCTTTATTTTTTCACTCTCTACAAAGAACGGGTAGTTTATAAACAGAAGTGGAAAAGTTTTCAGGTATACTTACTTTAATTTGTATTCAGATATGCCTGAATGAATGTGACGACTTTGTATAGTTTGAAATGGCGTGTCTATCAATATCTTATGATACATTTATATACAAAGTGTCCAAAGAGTATGGAAATCTCAAGAAATACACATAGGATCAAAAATTTAAGCTGAAAATGTTTTCAAAAGACGCATTCAATAAGAGAAAATTTGAAGCTCCAGACTCGGTTTCCATCGACCTTCTGAGAATATTTTTACACGTCAGCACTGTGATCGGTGCGAGCCGGGTGTGGAATTCGCGTCGACCAGCCATTGCTGGTATTCGAACCCTGTTCACCTTATTGGAAGGCAAGGTTCTGTCCCCTGAGCTCTCTCGTGATATTTTAATGTACAACCGTTGTTGAACAACCGACCCAATTTTTGGATATACGACTGCTAATGTTCAACTCCGTAGCCTTGTCATTTTGAACTCAATCCAGAAGACAAGAGAACTCCCGGTTCGAGTCTTTGTCTTTGTGGGGACTTTTTCATGGAACTGACCAGCATTTACATTACATGGAGAGGAAAACCACGGAAATCTGCCAAAGTTAGCCTGACGGCAAAGGGGCTCTAACCCCTGATCCGTCTACCACTGATTATATTTTACGTCAGCATTGTGGTCGAGGCGAGTCGGGTGCGAAATTCGTATCGACCAGCCATTGCTAGGATTAAAGCCTGGTTCACCTCATTGAAAGGCGAACGCTCTATGCCCTGAGCCACTATGGTTCGATTACATGCATTAATTGAAATAAAAACGTATCCTATCTACTAAAAAGCAAAGTAAATGGAGAAAAAATAACGTTTTGGGGATATTATTATTCGCCATATTATAATTGATACCATTGGATTGAATCCAGTTCACCTCATTGGAAGGGAAGCGCTCTATCTCCTGAGCCACCACGGCTCTCTCGTGATATCTGATTCTTTCCATGCTTTTCGGACAACTTGTAGACTTTTACTATCTTCATCCACGAAAACTCAAGTGTACAAACCTTGGAATCAGCTCACTTATACACTATTTAAAACCAGCATTTTAAAATCAAATGCGTATTAGAAATTAGTTATGATGAGTGATACACTCGTTTAACACCAAAAATTTGAAGAAAACTAGTTTTAAATCTTTGGAATGATCGAAATAACCAAATACAACCTTTCGGTAACATAAACTTATTTGAGAAATCCATTACAATTGTTTCAAGTAAAGCTTTATAAAATGAGCATAATAAATAAATAAAAATGAATGAAATCAGATTCAATGGAAAAAAATTGCTTTATTTATCATTCCACTAACATATTGGAAGCCCTCCACTATATATAATGCACAATAAAAATTGCAAGTTCAGATTTAAGCTACAAAGTGTTTTTATATGAGTTCTAAAAAGAATTATATGGAATGCAAAGAGTAGAGTGAATGAAAGGAAATAAAATTAAATTGTATAAAATAATTAACATCTTCAAACTAATTTTTTTTGAATTCCGATAAATAAAATAAGTAGCGTTTTACAAAATTCATAATGCACATTTTCAATATTAAAAACGTATAAACTGAAATCCCGTGAACATACAATTCGATTTTCCCGAAAGAGTCCAACACAGAGTGAGCCCTTTTTATGATTTTGACGCTGTGTTTCAGACTACTAATTATAAAAGCGTCTTCTAATCACCATGACAAGACCACATAGACTAACAATATATTATATTATTAATCAAGATTTGCTGCAATGGACTCTCATACAACTGTTACGTTCAACTGACCTGATTTGTTTCAGATTCACCAGATTTTGTTCAGAAAAAACTAAGCAGTTGCATTCACCCCTCTTATAATTAATTTTTAGAATGTAACTAGCTTTTTTTTCTTCCTTTCCTTGCAGCAGTTTTTCATAGTATCTCTAAAAAATGATATTCTGCTTGTTACAAACAACAACAAAAATGCATAAAATCAATTCAAATTTTAACACAATACAAACACATTAGAATTCATAAATCATACTCCAAAATTAACTTTCATTTCCCTCCGGCTAACAAAATTTCTTGACTATTATATTACGTAGCAGATGTGTGGCCTACGGGATTTGTCTGTATGCGGCCCTCTGACTCATAAGGTTGATGAAACCTAGATTAAAGTTTGGTTTTAATTAGACTAAAAACTAACAGGCAGAATAGAAAAATGCTTCGCACAGGGAACTGTTGGATTTTTCAATCAGCTTATGGCATTAATATAAGGTGAGAACAATCTCAGAGGGAATAAAATAAATACATTGAAACATGCCTTCATTTAACAGTGGTTCCCAAAAGGTATTTTCCGTGGCAGGGACACAGAGGACCTTTTTAACCAGTAATGATTTTTGAAACGTATTTATATTCAGCCAATAATCTAAAGTTTACTTAATATTTCGGTTACTTTTATGAAATTATTAAAGTAAAATGTCAAAAAAAAAGCAAAATTCAAATAAGAAACCCACACTATATTGAATTAATTATAAAAAGAAAATGCATTTATAAAAAAAAAACTGCCATAGTATTTCTCCATTCAAAATAAAATAACCAAATTCAAGACTAAAAATGTTTCTCTGATAAACATATTCATCGTTAACTATGACTTTATTTTTTGAAAACTACATTTGAGCTTATTTTATTCATTTTTAGCTTAAGCATAAACCAAAAACAAATTCAGAACTTAGTTAGAAGCCGCTACAGACCCGTGAATTCAACGGTCTGATATATATTCCTTAAACAATTAAAAAACTTATTTCTTCACATTTTCAAAATAATTAGTAATATTTCTTTGGCTATTCGCAGCTCCTAAGGAACTTTATTTAAAGAGTCGAGATTTCTGATTCCACAACCAAATAGGGAACTCTTATGACACATGTAATTTAGAAGTAACTTATTTCTAATAATTCTTAGTCCAGCAGTGGACTGATCGTTAAGACACGGTTCCCAGCAGATCACCGAAGTCAAGCATCACTGGCTACGGTCAGTGTGCGGGTGGGTGACCACTTGGATCAGTCTGCGTAGGGACCGAGGGTGTGCGGTATTGGTCCTCGTTAAACTGTGCTACCGTAAAGTGCTCGACTTCGCGTGCAGGTCGTCGGGCTACCGAAGCGGGGGTGCCATCCCCTCTGCAGAGGATCAAAATTGTGATGGCATGTCTTCGGATCTTCCTCAGGGATGTTTCCCAGACCGTCGCCAATAGCCCATTGTGCAGCTCTAGTGCGACGTAAATGAACTACAACAATCTAATAATTCTTATATTCATTTTTTTTTCTAATTGACAGAATTTTTTAAAAATCAAAACAATAACGTATGAATGAGTCATGAATATATCGTGTTCGGGGATTAAATAGAAAACTGATTGAGAAAATTTGGATAGGGTTATCGCGATATGGAGAGTGACAGGTGCCATAATTTTTAAAATTTCTTTAATTTCATAGATTTAAAATTTTCACTCATCCTTAATCCAGTTATAATTAAATTAAATCAATTATTTCATTTTCATCATATTCTGTAAAAAGCTAATAAATACTTTTATTGGCACTATTTTTAACAATTAAAATTTTTAATTCAATTACAAGTATATTCAGAGTCGCGATTAATCGAGTATCAAAATTTTACTTCATGTTTTAGATGCTTTATTTCTCTAACCACAAAATATTACATTTTTACGGTGTTTTGAGTGGTAAAATTGTAGCCAGATTTATTATTAATAAACGCGGGGTTAGCTGTATCTAAATTTTGAATCTCTTCTCATGCTCCTAAGCCTCCCTTAGCAATTACGCATTCATTGACAATTTGAATTTTTTTAGGCTTTTCAATGTTAAGGAAAAAAATGAATGCGTAAAGAAAATCTGTTCCTCTCTGTTAAAGGAATGATCTAATATCTTATTTTGTCAATATATGTTTTTGAAGTTATAAATGTGGTCGTGTTTGTTAATTTTAATAATGAATAAGGATGATTTTCCTTATATTGGTGCAAAGACAATAAACAAAATTTACACCATAATTATGATACTATAATAAAGTGTTTACTTTTGCCAATACATAATATGGAACATACATAACGTAAGCGAATCATTAGATTAGACATCATAAAGTTGTGATAGGCATTTAATAAAGTTGTGGCCAATAAAGTTGTGAAAGGCATTTAAATGAAAGCTTGTAGTAACCATGTTTATTTCTATCCAATACTTACAATTATTTCAACTTTTATAAATGCCGCAATCATTATTATTTGTTTAAAGTCAATTAACTTTATAGTATGATATAAATAGGGGCCATTTAATAACGCAGAGTTGTAGTACAAAGCAGCTAAAAAATTAATGATGGAATCAATCTAAGATCTTTTAAATAAATGTAAAATTCAACGTCACTTAACTTATGAAACTTGAATAAAAAAATTAATCAAGTCACGAAACTGAAATCAATTGTGTATTATTTTATAGACGTCCTGTATTTATAGAATCTTTACAACTAGAACAAACCACTGATCGGTTTAGTGAGAAATATTTTGTTTTTGTTTTGTTTCTTTCGGTCAGGTTTATAAAAATTCCACAATTGTAAGATTCAAACAATGACTATATCGGGGTGCGTAGTCAAATTTTTCAACAAAAAATAAGCGCTCTTCAAGCACTCAAAAAATATTTTTAAGCACTTAAAAAAAGTATCATAATTAGGCCAAGTTTTTGACAATTGGCGGTTTTAACCATCATGTCAAAAAAAAATCTCTAGACTATTGTCAAAAATCCAAAAGTTTGGGATAAGGATAATTATTCTCTTCTTCTTCTCATTGGCACGGCAGCCCAAGATGGGCCTTAGCCTTCTCAACAAGCCTATACCAAGACAT